GATGGGTGACAAAGCTACGAGCTAAATAAAAAAAAATTTTGAAAATCCAATCAGCCGAAGCAGAGTTATTAGGAACCTAAATGAAAAAGATAATTGTACAAAAAAGTTACGATTCGCTCGTATATTTGTTGATGGTTGTTTTACTATTTACGTATTGATATGTAAATATGAACAAGCATCCTATGAAAAATTCTATTTTAGAACTGTTCATATACAGTGCAGTGGAAAAATATCTTTTTAGAATCGTTCTCTTTTCAGTCCCATTTTGTAAACAGCGTAAAAAATTAAATAATTCGCACTGCATTTCCCATTCAGTCCAAACTCCGTTCTCTTTTTATACTTTTTCATTTAGCCTAGAGTACAAAAAGTGATATATACAGATGACGCAGCTCTTGTGCTAAACCAAAAATATTTTTCCAAACTGAAACATAGATATTTTCATCCTGGATACTAGTGTTCGATTGACTTAGCGAAATTTACCGGATTTCAGCTTCGGACGGACAAATTTTATATATCGAATCAGAATGTTGGCTACTAAGATACAAAATCAAGACAATGTGATGAAATTCGTTTCCATCGGCAAGAGTATTTTATAATCTCAGATTTTCTACAGTTTTTTGTAATGATTGTAAATCAAGATTATTATGTCCTTAAACATTTATCCGAAAAAAACGTGAATTCTGGTTTCGTAGGAATAGTTGAATAGTATTTAGGATAAAAATATCCGAAATGGTCCACGTCATATTTGTTCTGTGAACAGCTTACAAGGTTGAAAACGGGTTTCTAGGAATTGTCTACTAGTTCAAACAGCGAAGTACTTAGGAGTTCTTTCTTGGGTTACATCTCAAAAGAGATACAAATGGTTTGTACTCAGCTGACATACAATCCATATTTTAATCAAGTATCTCAGTTAAGAATATCTCAGTTAAGAATATCTCAGTTAAACCAATATTTGTGTGAAAATGTTTGTTTCTCAACTGAAATACAATTTTGACACGTGCGTTGAAACGTGTAATCGTGCAAGAGTGTACAAAGGTCTATTATTCAATAGTGAAAGAAATGAAATTAGGTATATGATGTATCTCTCCTGACTATCTAAGTATACAAAATGGCGCGAAAGTCGCTGTAATTCTTGTAGATTTTGTAGAACTATTGAATAATAGACCTTTGTATACTCTTGCACAATTACACGTTTCAACGCACGTGTCAAAATTGTATCTCAGTTGAGACATTACGATACAAATCCATACTTTAGAATGTATCTGTTTAATCAATTAAAAAGTATCTCTTTTGAGAAATGAATATTTTGGCAAGAAATTGCCTTTCTCAACAGAGATACAATTATAGATATGGAATCTCTCATTTCTATATTCCAAATAAAAATGAAATTAAATATGAGGTAGAAGCAATTAAGATAAGTGGTAATTAGTACTTATAATTAAAGAAAAATTATTTTTCAAAAAGAAGTTAATTTGTCAACTGTTTGTAAATCGTAAACGTCAACTGTAGTTTTGAAATGTTTATAAATAAAACTGCTCAAAGCAATGTTGTCTCACTCTTCAAAAAACTATTATGGGTTTTGTACGAAAGCAAAGTCAAAAAGGTGCTTCTGCCATATTGTTCGAAAAAAATCTTTTTTGACATCAACATATAAATAAAAACAATATTATTTGTAAGTGTTTAAGAAAACTCATGCTTCGGATATTAGTACGGATGAGGATGAAGACAGCAAAGATTAAAATTACAAACAACTGACAAATGAACTTCTTTTTGAAAAATAATTTTTTTTTAAATATAAGTACTAATTAGCACTTATCTTGATGGCTTCTATCTTTTATTTAATTTCATTTTTATTTGGAATATAGAAATGAGAGATAACATGTCTCTATTGAGAGAAATGAGAGATTTCATATCTATAATTGTATCTCTTTTGAGAAACGCAATTTCTTGCCAAAATATTCGTTTCTGAAAAAAGAGATACTTTTTAATTGGTTAAAGCAGATACATTCTGAAATATGGATTTGTATTGCTTTTGAGACGTAGCCGTGACCATTTATAGTTGTTTTAATCAATTTATTAATTATTTAAATAGATAAAAATACAAGATTTTCTCATTTTGTTTAATCACCCCATTCAATGTAACAGTTATCGTCATCAGAAGCCGTTTCCGGAGGCTGTACTTGACCTTTAGACATAACAGCAGCATTAGCTGAACCAAACAAAGGATGGTGATTAAATTGTTTAAAATGTGGCGGTATATTAAAATTATACTGGAATTGATAAAACTGTTGAAAATTATTTTTAATCCAATTACTCTCAACATTCCAAAACCATGAATTATTTATAACATATTCTTGATGTTTTTTCTCTTCAGCCTGGTGTTGCACTGGATTAACCTGTGCAATTTTCCTTATAACCCATATATCTTGATTATAGTACGGGTTACTCATATACTCGTATGGAATATATAAATATCCTTTGTCACCCCAATCCGTTCCATAAGAATTTCGAACAATAAATTTTTGTTGCATATCATTATAGCCCACGGCTAACATACAGTGTCCTCCTCCTCCTCTTTGTTTATCCTTTTGACTTGGCATCAGTACATGTCCTCCATTGTGAGCTGATTGAGCAAATGAATCATATGTCAATAAGCCAAATGTAAATGGATATCCTTCACTTAATGACTGCTTCATTTGTTGAAGATCAGCTTTTAATCTAATTCCTTCTCGATCCTGAACTATACATGGACTAGCTTCTTTATATGCATTTGATGATGGTTTTGTATTTACATGAACAAGATTATATGGCCAATAATCTTCTTTACAAACACCTTTTGTTTTTAATGTTTGAATTGCATCTGAAATATAACAGCCGTCATCTCGTATATTTTGACTTCTATTTGCACGTGCATTATAATAAATAAATAGTCTACTTATATCAATTTCTTTTCCAGTTTCTTTTTTGATTAGATATTCATAGGCACCGGCTAAAGCGTTACCAACACTAGAAGAAAAATTATTATTTAGGTGTACATTCTATGGATATATTCTCTCTCTCTCTCTCTCTCTCTCTCTCTTCTCACCAACTGTTAATCTGTCTTTGATTTTCAACGGTGGTACAGTCTTTTCTCAAATCGACAATTGGCGGAAGTTGAGCAGCTGAGTGTGGTATAGATCCAAATTTCATTGTATTCGGTTCATCATTAACACCGTTCGGGTCTAGTTTTACACCATTTAATGGATATTTTTGATTTGTAATTTTATTAACTATAAATGCTTTTTTCCGTTGTTGAAATAATTCTTTTATCGTATCAGTTTTAGCTTCTTGTTCAGCTGTATAACCATATCGATTTTTTAATGTAGTTGAAGCTCCCTTGTCCAGTAAAAGTCTAACAATATCATCGTGTCCATTGTAACTAGCCGCATGCAAAGCAGTGCTACCATTTGGTTCAAGACGATTTATTTCATCTTCCGTTATTGTTGTTAAATATTCTTTTACTTTTTCTATTTTATTATTGCGACAACTCAAATAAAATTCACTTGACTGTTCAGACATTTTTTTTGATTAATTTTTCGAGATAGAAGAAGGCTTTTCGTGTTAGTTATTTAGTTTTATTTTACCTATTATATCTTATTTGATGATCTACAGGTAGAAGCAAAAATATCGTCTGAAATTACAATTCCTATACATTGATGTACAGGGTGAGGGTGATATCCCTTCATTCGGCTAGTAAAAGAAAAGGAAAATACGACAGCAACGGTGTGGTGTGTATGTAAGGTGCTGGAAATTCGAAAGGGGCACACAAAAATAGATTTCCTTGAAACATACATGGTCAGATAAAGCTCGACAAGTGGGTTCCGAATATATCTTTGGAACTGAATTTTCTTCAACTTTGGAGGGAAAGGCGGAGAAATCTTCAAAATACGAAGAAGGTATGAAAAACGGCATTTTTTATCCTTTTTGAGAAAACTTAAGATTTCACCCCTCTGTCGTCACTGTAAGTTTTTGAAACTAATTTATTCGGATTCAGCATCAAAAATTAAGTATATCCATGTAAGTTTGAGAATCTTTCATCATTCTTGTCGCTCTCGCTAGGACGGACTAGTCAATCAAGCTGCTAAGGCATACCCTCCTCAGCCAAGGATGCGTAAGAGGAAAAATAACGGCATTCAAGAGGTTAACGGTGCCTTCCTTTTTTTTGCAAAAAGCTTTTCATTTTGAGCTGAACACAGTCTAATGTACAGGAAAGTCTGAGCCAGAAAAAGAGACCACTTCCAGTCAGAGGCGCGGCCGGTACCGGTATGAATTATAATGGTGACCGGTATACCGGTATTAGTATGAAGTATAATCAATCAGTCGACATCACTGGTATTTTGCGATATGATACGATTTGGCGAAAAATATCGTGTAAATTCAGTTCATCTATGACATATTTCTATAAACAAGGAAAAAGTGTTTGTATTTAGGCAAAA